TAATGTTTAGGCAACTAAGCAACCCTAGCCAATTCAACAACCGTTTAAGCTTCCAAATGCTCTCCCTCTCTCTTTCGAAGTTAGAGTAGAAATATTCAGCTGCTGGAAAGATCCCGTTAGGATTCTCTCTCATATTGCAAAGAGTAGGTACGTTACAAAACGCTTCGCAGTCGTTCATTCTTTCTGATTTCAACAGGCAGTTGACGCAGACGTTCCTACGAAACAATATAATATTACAAAATTACATAAATTATAAAATATAAAATACTGCGGAAACTCTACCATGTTATCGCCAATTGTATTAAATGTATTGTCCACAAGAAACAGTTCGGTAAAAAGGAAGGCTTTCTTCATCCCGTCGAGAAAGGAGGAGAGCCATTGCACACATTGCATGTTGACCATCTCGGACCTATGGACGCCACACCGAAGCAATATAAATACATTTTTGCTATAGTCGACGCATTTACTAAGTTCGTGTGGCTGTATCCGACAAAGACAACAAGCTGCAAAGAAGTTCTTAAAAAGCTCGACAGCTGGTCGGAAATCTTCGGTAATCCCAGTCGCATCGTCAGTGACCGAGGGTCTGCGTTTACATCTTCAGCTTTCGAGGAGTACATGAGCAAAAATGGTATCGAGCATGTTTGGAGCACCACCGGAGTGCCCAGAGGAAACGGCCAAGTAGAGCGCGTTAACCGGTCGATACTACAAATCATATCCAAGCTGTCATCAGAGAGTCCTGAAAAATGGTTTAAGTTTGTGGCTAGAGTACAGAAGGTCATAAACAGCACCATTCATGTATCAACGAAGAAGTCGCCATTCGAACTCATGTTTGGCGTAAAGATGAGACCTACGGCCGAAAATAAGGTGTTGCAACTGCTGGAAAAGGAGATATGCGACAATTTTGATGAAGAAAGGCAGAAAATAAGACAAGCAGCGAAGGAGGACATACAGAGAGCACAGGAAAGATACAAACAGCACTATATATATAGGCGCTGGGAAAGATATATTAATAAACAAACCACATTATTTTAAAATCAATAAAACCATGTACAGTCCGTCCGTTTGGGCACAATTACAATAAGAAAACACTGATAAAAAGCCGCTATATAATTTCGGCCTTTATTCTTCATACACTGAAAATTAAAATTTCATATGTGCGTGTGGTATATTCGGTGCATTTTCGCTTTGCGCATGTGCCTACCGCTTAGAAGCATGCATTCAAAGCTTCTCTGTTATGCTCGCTTCACCTGGAGCCACTATATAAAAGCTTTAAGCTTTTGCTTAAGCTGCTGCTGCCTCCGGCAAATGCACACGATACACCGTCAAATTGCACATATAACTTTCACGCAGCATTAAAATTGCTTTATTTGCATGGAAACATTTACTTTCATCTAACTTTTCTATAATTTTGAACATCTACTAATTTAGCTATGTATGCTTTCTTTTCTGTTCTTCCAGATTCTACTTGTATCTTCGAATTGCTCCTTCTCCTTATGGCTGCTCAGCCCGTATGATGCCTGTGCACGTCCTGCGGCCTGAGCGGAATCCTGGTCCCGGATCCTATATGCCAATCTCCTCATTCGCAGACGGGATTCGGGAGGCGGGGGAGGGATTTCTTTCCTGGCGGGAGGGGCCCAGATCCATGTATGGACGTGAAGTACAGATGGATGCTTGGCTCCTCCCCTGCCCGCCCAGCGTGCGTGCTCCTGGCTGACTCGCGCTCCTATATGCTGCATTGCTTTCAGCATTATAATTGAGCGCGTCTTGGTCAGGGCCATGCCAATTTTAAAACCTTTCAATTTAATTTATTTTTTGGGCTCTCTGTTTCTTTTCTCTATTTTTCGTCTGTTATTTCCCTTCTTTCTATTAACTTTTTCCTTCTGGAAATAGAATTTAAAAAATATATAGTTCAATCGAATTAATTTATAAAAGAACATTCAAAATTTAAAATATATTACATTTTAAAATAGTTAAAAAAACTAAAATTCCTATTAAATATTTAAAGTATGCGTAAAGGCAATTACATTCAAAAATTATACTAAATATTAATATAGCTAAAACAAAAAGAGAAAATATTCAATATTGCACAATTATCACATAGAAAAAGGAAATAATATTCCCGAGTTCTCAGACACCGAAAAGCTTCACCCGAAGCTTTATTATTGCCAGCTTTAAGCGGTCCTTGCCCTCGACGCTCGCTGTCCTTTGGAATCGCAATGGACCAGGGCAGCCACTGCTGCTGCCTCTTGACATTTCACAAAGCTGCACCGAATCGCAGTTGCAACAACAATGAATCAATTCGCTCATCATGCTGGACTGCTAACCTTATCATCGCACGCATCAGGACGCCTGTTCGCTTGGAACACAAACGGTGTCTACAGATCTACACAGCCTTTTGCCGACTCGTCAACTTTGAAAACATAGTACTATCTTCTTACTACCATCCCCGTGGAACCTGGAATTCCTCAAAACATTAGTTAAAATTGTACACTTTAAGATCCACTTCATACCCTGCAACCAAAATATGCATTATCTAAAATCTCAACGATTTACTGTCAGTATACACAATTTTTGTACCCTGTACCCGTAGGGTAAAAAGGGTATATTAGGTTTGTGCAAAGTATATAACATGCAGAAGGAAGCATCGCCGACCCCATAAAGTATATATATTCTGAATCAGCATGACGAGAGAAATCGATCTAGACATGTCCGTCCGTCCGTCCGTCCGTCTGTCCGTCTGGATGAACGCAAGGATCTCAGAAACTATAAAAGCTAGAATAACCAAAGTTGGCCTCCAGATTCTCCTAGGTCCGAGAAAGGACGAGTTTATTTTATTTTTTGGAATTAACCTGGATACAGGGTATTTCACTGTCGGGCTTGCTCGACTGTAGCGTTCTCTCTTGTTACACTTAAATTTGATTCTCAATCTGTTAAAATCTGACAAACCACAATAGGAATTTTAACTTAAGCTTTGCCAATCTCTGTTACAAAATTTAAATTTGTTTGCTATTTTTTCTACACTAAACCATAACAAAATATTTAACATATAAAATATCACTAAATATTCAGATGCCAATAACTTACAATTTTAAAATCCCAGCTATAATAATTAATTAAATAATTCTGAACCCTCACACATATAAACAATAACTTAAAAATTCAATCAAACCATCAAACCGGTAAATGCCACTTACAACATTATATTATGTTTTACAAATCAACATTACTCTCATTACTACGCCTACGCAATCACATTCACCACAAGAATATTGTTAAAATATTTAAAACAAACACACTCATCTATTGCCTACCAAATCTGGGACATTCACTTGCAAGAATTAAAACCATATCAATATAATTTACTCTACGCTATTTAAGAGCACTTGGTCAACATATACACAACAACGGCAAAACCAACACACAACACTATTTAAATCAAATAATTCAAAATAGCCACGCATCACTGAATCAACACATAATTAATAACTGATTTCTCGTCTACACTTATACAGTCACTCGACACCAGCACACAAAGAAATATAAATATGAACAAGGACATTTGGTACCCTCTTACCTTATGATTATTGGAATACATTCTCCCGCTTCTGACACCTGGTGGAGAAATACACAAACTTTAAATTGGTATTGATATATACCTGGATTAAAAATTGCATAATTTAATATAAATAGAATAAATAATTAAAAGCATCTGAATAATTTAACATATTAAAACCAAACAACATTAAAGGAAATAAAATATATCTCAGAGATTATAATCCATAAAATGAGTTTACCATACACATACTTTTGTTAAATCTATATTGCATATCAAATCAAAAATTACAACTTTTACTAAATACATGCTAATGTAAAATCTATATTGCACACCAAATCACAAATATTTTTACACACAAAAAATTTCTTTACATTACCTTGTCATATTTAATATCTACTACTTTTATAACAACTTTAAGAAACATAATTCAACAATTTAAAACTTTACTATAGTCTATTTTCAACATTTAAAATTATTTACTTTACAAACTATGTACTTTCAAATTTACTTAAATTACTCTTAAAACAATTGAATTTATAACTAAACTTATTCTCCCCTAAATGCAACTTTTTGTGACCCCAGTTTTAACTTACATTATAATTAATTATTATACACCGTCATCAAGGACTAATTCCTACTTGCCACCGGTGCCCCAATGAGGGAACGGGGCACCATACCAGCACGCTACGGCTTCTTTCCGCTTCCCCTCCACTCAGTGAAACTGGAAGGATTAATTATAAGGCTTAATTTGTATTTAATTTATAAGTTACGGCCTGTGCGTCAAAAAAAAAGGCGTCGCTTGCCTAAGGCAATATTGCCTCATAATGCTAAATTTCCATTACTTATGCCAAAGGGACGCCGATTCGTTATGTTATACTTGAAGTGTTTAAATGCCGCTATTACCTGTCTCGATAGGAATTCGTGGCAGAGCCCCGGTCAATATGTATGTTGCGGTTTTTGTATGTTTTGCCTCCAAAGCTGTGCACATTGATGTTGTAAAAGACCAGACAGCTAAATCGTTTATAATGTGTTTGTCTAGGCTTGTCGCCGTGGACCTGTGAAGAGGACCTACTCATACAATGCCACCAATTTCGTAGGTGATGTGTCCAGCTTTAGCATCAACAACGATGCTATTGCAACATTTGCTGCCATCAAGGGAATAACCTTCAAATTCATTTCATTACTCGCGCCGCATTTCGTCGGCCTGTGGGAGGCGGCAGCAAAGCCCACCAAGACGTTGCTGCTGAAGGCCCCCCGAAGCGCAACGCTGCGGCAGGACGATCTATGTCGCTATGCCTTATACTATAAATGTAGTTCCCTGAAGTTGCCCACGCCCCCTTCAACACTTTAAATACATTCGGACATTCTTTTAACTTTTTAAATACAGGCATTTATTTTCACTCTACTGATGTTTGTCTATGAATATGGATGTCGCCGGTTTTTTTTTCTAAAAGACTCTAGTGTTAGACAGATTTCAAACCATTCGAAAACAAAAGTAAATAAATTTTTTTACAATAACCTAAAACATTTATAGACCCACTGTACAAATTATACAACATAACATACCGAAACGAGACTGATCAGATGCGAGCAATGGGTGCTACCTTTGGCGGTTTGCGCCACGATGTTCAAGCGAACAAGCACAAAAGTCGGCCCAAAAAAGCCACCAGTGTTCTTAATGCCATCGAAGACATACAGCGCCTGTAAGTATGCAACACTTTAAATAATCGAGCCATGATCCTCATTTACGTATACGCCTGCCTGATAGCACTCCTGAGAATATGCATCAGGAATTTGATCGGCTACTCAAGGATGCACATTCCCATGCCATGAGTCTTGAGGCAAACAGTCCCTGCTCGGATGCAGCCGACACTCTCAAGCGATGTCTTCACCAAAATCGCGAACACAATTGTAAATGCTTTTCGGCCATGGAATCCTATCAGAGTTGTGTCATCAAAGCGACGCAGGATCGTGTCGATGAACTGGCCAAGCACTCGCCTCCAACAAGCGAGCTATTGCAACCAAGGATTAATGATATGCCTACACCGGAATTGCCAGCAGCGACAGGAAGGCAACGTCACCGATGCTGGTGGAAGCCTTGGACTTGGCTACGATAGTTTAGACGTGACCGCCTTTTTATTCTGGTATTTATTTCAGCTTTCGATAACTGCTGATGCTGTTATTCTTGTTGTTAGTGGTGGCACCACCACTTGATTGAATACACAGGATTGAATATACCCTCCAAAATTGAATAATTTATAAATGGTTCAGCGTTTACATTAGTAAATTAAAGCAAGGAAATATACATTATTTAGGAAACTAGAGAACATTAGAATACTTTTTTTTGAAGTGAAACTTCTTCACGGCTTTGTCTGCTGGATCGGCAAGATTTTGTGTGACGAAAGTGACGTCAGCATGACACACATTAGACATACATAACTCTACCAGTGATTTTCCTTGTCGATGTTGTTGCCTGTGCAAAGCAGTAACAACAACAAAAGCTGCGGGCACTGCTTGGTCATACACAAATCGACCTATCGATATGAAACCTGAAAATTGAAAGAAATATGGGAGTTATGGAAAAATCACTAATTGCAGGAGAGAAGGGGGATGGAGGGAAATTGCAAAATACACATTTTCTACCTATTTACATAATTTGGTGCTCCTATGTCTTATATATATGGGATATGGGATGATATATGGGCGATTGTACGAATGGAAAATCAGGAAATCCCCCATAGAGGGGTAGTGGGGGGAAAATTAAAAAAAAAAATGTGCGTTGCAAGGAGATTGAAGTGAAACTGCGTGGTTCGAAATCCATTTAATCGATGTTTAACAAAAATATTAAATGCTACAATTAATCGTATAAAGTCAAAAGCATACATAAATTTACAAACTAGTACTTTAAATTGTCGCTAATAATGTCTTGGGGACGTCGGTAACGTAGTGGATAGCGCATGCGCACACCAACAAGAGGTCGTGGGTTCGAGCCCCACTCATGGCGAGAGCATGACCCAAAAATGTCTCCTCTCGAAAACTCTCCTAAAAATACCTGCTTTCAATGTCGTGGTCATTTATCCACCAAAAAAACACATCCATCCATGCTATCTGGACAACTTAATAGTATAACCCCCCACCAATACGGCTCTCCCCGGCGGCGACCGGCGGCAGCCCCACCACACTGGGATAAGTCGCATCTGGCCAATCACCATGTCGACTGACAACAAATGATTATTGAAACTTATACAAGACAAATGAACCCAAAACGGCTCCACTTCGATGTCGATGTTACGGATACTCTGGAGGAACACTTCCAAGGAAGCAGTCGGGTCGACAGACCTAAAAAAAGATGACAACCTGGCGGCGGATTACCTTCAGAATTTAACCCAGAAACAACACCACATGGGATACAGCCAAGACAGACAGACGGCTAGAAATTGAGAGTCAGATGGAAAAATGTTCTTGTAAGAAGCCCTAAGCTCCCAAGCGGAGTAAAAAGGAATAAAAAAAAATAAAAACAAGTAAAAAACCTAAAATCGGGTGTCCCGACATTGAAATACTCTATACATATGTTCACAATAATTATAGAAAATAAAAAAAAATTAAGAAAATTAAAAAAAAAACAAGTAAAAAAGCTAAAGTCGGGTGTCCCGACTTTGAAATACTCTGTACATATGTTTACAATAATTATAGCAAATAAAAAAAATTAAAAAAATAAAAAAAAAATTTGATCGAATTTACCTCTCTCGGTATTTGCACATTTACATAGCAATTGCGTCTGTGTGAGTGCGTTCGAAATTCCAAGAATTACGGGAGTTAAAGAAATTTGCATGGGAGAGGGAGGTGGTAGGGAAATTCCAAAATATACATTTCCTGCGTATTCACATAAGGCATCTTGGACTTTAAATTTGATATCCCTAGGTCTTATAGTCTCCGAGATATAGGCGATTATACGAACGGCGTTACGGAAAAACCCCCATAGGGGGGAAGTGGGGGGAAAAATAAAAAAATAAAACAAACTCGTATAGCGTACACACATAACGCATCTTTGTGCAAAGTTTGGTGTCTCTAGCTCTTCTAGTCTGTGAGATCCAGGTGTTCATACAGACGGACAGACAGGGCTAGATCGACTCGTCTTGTCATACTGATCAAGAATATACTTGTATATACTTTGTGGGGTCTGCCACGCCTCCTTCTGTCTGTTACATTTTTCACTTCCCGCAAACCTAATATACTCTTGTACATTTCATGTACAGAGTATAAAAAATGTCTTATTGAAAACGACAATAAAAATTAATTTTTTTTCAGCTTTACGATTAATCGTAACTGGCAGATTTTCCGAATTTCAATGAAAAATTCCAAGAAATACGGGAGTTATAGAAAATCAGCGTATTCACATAAGACATCTGGGACTAAAATTTTGTGCACCTAGCTCTTATAATCTCTGAGATATGGGCGATTATACGAATGGAAAATCGGGAAATCCTCCAAAGAGGGGAAGTGGTGTATAGCGTACACACATCTTTGTGCAAAATTTTGTCTCTCTCTTATAGTCTCTGACAGCCAGGTGTTCATACCGACGGACGAACAGACAGGCAGACATAGATCGACTTGTCTTTTCATGCTGTGCCACTGAAAACTCTGGTAGTTTCGGCTTCAGTTGTTTTTAAAATCTCCCTTGATTTGCTGATAAGCAAATTGCGGTAAACTGTTCCCAAACGCGTAAACAACTTGTTTACGCAAACAAGTGTGTTCTATAAATACAGCAGATAAGAAACTGCGAGTGTGTGTGTGAGACTACACGAAAAGAAAATATTTACGAGGCACAAAAGTGCATGTGAATATAAGTGGTCGTAGCCGGTCTGGTAATACCAGCGCGGGCAGTGACGCCGGAGCCACTGCGTCGCTGTCGCCGTACTCATCGCTGACGCCGTCGAACCTGCTGCCGCTAATTCTGCCGCTGCTACCGTCGCGAAGCCAGATACCGACGCCGGGACGTGAGCGTTTCACGCAAGGAGATCGCGGAAAAAACTAAGAATGAGATGGTTGCAATGGGAATTCGCGTACACAAAATACACGAACCCACGCGTTGTGACGCCATTATACGCAGACTGTCTGAGAATGAGACGTGGGAGGTCGTCGAGAGCAAGAAGTTCAAAGAAGCTGGACTAGTTGTCCACCCCAATAAGGGACTGCGGCCGAATATGACGGTATACGACGTAAACACGTATATATCACCCGAGGAGTTTATGGAAGAAATGTATGTGCTCAACTTCAAGGACAAATTGTCACCAGGCGCCTACAAAGATGCGGTTAAATTGGAGACCAAGAGGTGGTCTGTCACCGACGGCGAAAAAGTCAACCTGACGCTTCACCTAGATGAAGCAGCAGGGGCCATTCTGGAGAGGACGGGGAGGGTGTACATATATCCACTCATTCCGATGCCGAAAGCACATACGCACTTATGTCTGCCACAGGTGTGTGAGCTTTGACCACAAAGAGTCGGAATGCCGCGCGTTTACGGTGTGTGGCCAGTGTGCAGGAATTGCGGTCTCAGGGGGCTTCCTTTGGGGAATTATATGCTCTCGGAGAGGTGTGCAATTTATGGAGCTGTGCTGGCGAGGGTGCAAGCTAGGCATTAATGTTAAGCTTCACCTAAGCGAACTGCGCCCGATGCAAGACGAGACTGTGGAGTGTGGGGTCAGGATGAGGAGCTCCGGATACACTTTCGCCCTGCCGTATGTTGACCCCCACTTGAGACGCATCACTGGACTCCAAGCCAGTATGCGGGTGTACGCGGACAGGAGAAATAAAGCAGCTGTTGTTGTGGACGATCCAACCTCGGTTTGTATGCCTTTGGAAGAATTGACGACCGACTACGGAGTACGCGTGAGCGTCACAGGGAGATTTGGTACAATCAATGGACGGAGCAACATTAACGTGACAATCGCCAACGACGCAGCATTAATGTGGGTCGCATTTCAATGGAGGATGGACGATTGGGTCTTGAGTGACCACAACGTGCATGGTGAGCAGCTGCGGTGAAGTTCCTGTCCCGGTGGCAAGAGGTTGTCAACAGCTTATGAGCATCGTAGGAGAGTGGGGTGCAGAAACAGGCGCTTCTGTATCCACCACTAAAACGAATATCATGCTGCTGAAGGGCAAGTTATCGCCCACAAGGAGGCCTTGTGTCTAGATGTAAGTATCTGGGCATTATAGTAGGCGAGAGGGTGACCTTTATGCCGCACATAGAGTCGCTATGTGGGAGGATGCTGGGATTTTCCGGATCGCTGGCGAGAGTGTTGCGTGGATTGGGGGCTTAGTCCAAAAAATAACGATATACGTGGGACCTATGGTGCCGTGTGCATTGTTGGGTGCGCTGGTTTAATTTTCTGAATTTTCAAATTTCAGTAATTGTTCTACACATACAAGTACATATGTACATATGTACACAGTATTTCTTGCGTGTTTCTTGTCGTGCCTTTTTCGCTCAACCAAGCCCTCAATCTATGTACTTGTACCAGTACACGTACAAATGTACATACATATACTTGTACATACATATAATCAAAATAAACACCAACAGCAACAGCTTGCATTTGCATTTTAGTTTGGATTGGCCCCCTTGTACCCTCCCCGTTGTTCTGCATGTCTGATGCAATGGTGGTTTTCATACTTGTGCTCTACGTTCATAAAAGTCTTCACTATTTAATGCACCCATAATTAAATTACTATTAGATAATTAACTTACTCAATTATAGCAAATACGCTTTAAGCTCCTATTAGCAGTTTAATGGTCATAGTCTATGGCCATGGCCAAGTAACATCACAAGTAAAATAAATAAATTGTTGTTCCTGGACTTTCACCATTATGTAACCTAACTTAATGTAACTCCGTACATATATACGTTAAATGGAATCAAAAAAGTGTCTTTCTGCTTGTTACATACATATAGTACTTGCACAATCCTGCTATACCCTTTTACCGTTCAGTCACAGAAAATAATTGTAGTAAGCAAAGTAGAATATAAGCAACATGTACAAGTACAACACGTATTATAAAATAAGCTAAGACATAAGCAAAAGTGTAAAATAAGGTCAGTCGATTTGTGAAACGCAAAATGTGCGCATGCGTCTCGCTGGCTACAGCACATTAATTAATATTATATTTCGAATAACTCAACTCAACGACACACTCTTGACGTTTTTCCCTCCGGTAACTCGTTTTCTTATTCGTAATCTACCGACATTTGGGACAGTATAATTTCAGTAGAGGAAAGATTGGTTCCAAAGCTATATTCACCAAAGCT